CTGAATATTTCAAATGTGTGTTTCTAATGAGTGAGTAGGACATAGAAAAATCTGAAGGTTAGGACAGGTTGTCCAAGGGGTTTTCCTGACTTCAAAATCTTAAATAGACCTGTATACTATGTATACAGTATACATACTTTTAGTATATGTATACTTTCCAACATAAGCCAAGCTATCATCCATTCCTGCAAGACAATGACCTTGAGTTCCTTTTGGGGTAGGGAGTTATAATTAATACATTTCCTATCTAAAACTTAGTTTCCTTCTTAACTCACATATATTGTAAAAAATAAGAGGTTGTGGTGCAGGAAATCAGAGTTCCATTTAAACAAGAGCAGGCATTGGTAACATGTTATACAGTACTGACCCCGACATGAATGCAACAAATAGAGATGCAGCCATTCAAAACGAGCAGGGTACGCTGCGGTAAAGCGTGGTGGGCGTCGCATCACAACGCGTCATACCATATAATACCTCAGTTATGATAATGATATCTGGAATCACTGCCAGGTGGAGCTAATAAAGCTTAACCTCTCATGTACAGCATTTGAGCTGTTGCCAGAAAACGCATGGTTTCAAATTCTGGTCACAGCTGAAGGACAATCTTTACCCAATTAAGAATTTAAGTTGTATACTCTTTAGGCTTTTAATAATTTTAAACTGTGTATTACAGCATGTTAATCATTAAACATTACAAAGTCAGTATATTTTATAAAAGCAAGATTGCTCAGTTGGACAAAAGTACACAACCTACCTCCTTTATCATAAATATTTTAATTATGCAGAAATATTTTATGCATCAAAGTCTTTACGGAAGATATTACCAATAGTATTAATATTGACTGACCTTGGACAGGCTGTAAGCTAAAAGTATTACCATGGTACACTTTCTTTGTAACTGTCTTTATAAATGAAAATACTTTATTTTTTCATTGACAAAAAGTAACACCACGATACACCACCATAAACAATATTAATTTAAGAACATAAACATATTATGTAAACTGTATGTGGCTGGTATTGGTAGTTTAAAGAAAAAATACACGCCAGTATTCCACTTTCTTTCTAAACATTTTAAGCATCAAAGTCTTCCATGTGGTTATTTCGGAAACATTTTTACGTACTCCTTCTGACCATATTAAGTTTATATACTTTGTGTAAAGTCATAATGTTTTAACCTTTTCTGCGTATACTTCCTTTATCGGAAAGTGTATTATACTACTATTTTAGCTACAGTACATGAATATAATTATATCATTATTAATTTCTTTAGGTACGCGATTCCATATTGTATTCCTTATTAATCAAATTCTATGCTTTATTCTATTCTATTATATTCTATGCTAATCAAAAAGTATGCTTTTGTTTACTTTTGTTATGTTCCTCTTCTTTTTATGCTCAGCTACTAAAATTTCCCTTTAGTTGTAAAATTTCATATAAATATTTAATACTAACCGGATTAAAACGTGCACAGTAAAGAGATAAAATGATTAAATGTTTTCACTAATGACAAATACACCATGAGTGTCACTGTCGGTCATTTTGGCTAGCCAATCACGTACCGCGGTACAACGCAGTGGCTTGTGGTTAGTTGCGTGCGGTATGGGTTTGTAACATGCATTTTGAATGGCTGCATCTGTATCTGAGAAAAGTGTTAAAAGGATTGAATTACAAGTATTTCAGGAGGTTTTTATTACTGACATGGACAAATGTTCCTTAAAACCCCAGGTTCTCTGGATAAAAACATTAAACTATGTAAATGTGAAATATTGCACCCTTCACAATCCCCATCCCCATTCACAGAATATTTTTGTAATTGGAGGATGAAATGTGGACTGCATTGAATAATATATTTGTTCTCTAATAAAGAGAAAATAAATTGTACACAAGAAATTGTGTGAAATTGAACATTCAAACATCTTGATTTAAATCATGAAAATACTTTTTTACACATTTATCCCCTGTAAAGATTCTTTGGAGGTGTGGTAGCTCAGATGGCAAGGTCACCTAACTGTTAACTGAAAGGTTGTAGGTTCAATCCCAAGCAATGTAACTTGCTCTAATTCCTTCCAGAGGTGCCCAGGTCCACTCAGCCTGCTATCCAAATTAATACCATGGGGTAATAGGCTGGCTGGAGTATAATGCTCTACTTCCAGTGTCAAATGGTTGAGAAAAATGGTGGCCCATTCCCCCATGGGCCTTTAGGGCCTGAAAAGGGGACCCTATTAATAATAATAATAATTGCTTACACTTATATAGCACTTTTCTGGACACTCCACTCAAAGTGCTTTACACCACCACCACCAATGTGCAGCATCCACCTGGATGATGCAACGGGAGCCAAAGTGCACCAGAACACTCACCACACATCAGCTATCAGTGGGGAGGAGAGCAGTGTAATGTAGCCAATTCATAGAGTGGGATTATTAGGAGGCCATGATTGATAAGGGCCAAATAGAAATTTGGCCAGGACGCTGGGGTTACACCCCTACTCTTTTCGAGAAATGCCCTCGGATTTTTAATGACCACAGAAAGTCAGGACCTCGGTTTTATGTCTCATCCGAAGGACGGTACCTGTTTACAGTGTAGTGTCCCCATCACTATACTGGGGCATTAGGACCCACATGGACCGCAGGGTGAGCGCCCCGTGCTGGCCCCACTAACACCTCTTCCAGCAGCAACCTTAGTTTATCCCAGGAGGTCTCCCATCCAGGTACTGACCAGGCTCACACCTAATATATAATAATATCACACCTGCTTAGCTTCAGTGGGTTCCCAGTTGTGATTTGCAGGGTGATATGGCTGATGGCATTAAGATGTTTTGATTTATTTGTATTGGTCACAAATTAATTATATACTGTATAAGTCTCTTCGTTGTTTAGTTCCATAAAATGTATAAAATAAGAAACACCTGTCTAACATCTTTGTTCAAAACAAGTTTAAGAAAGTAGAGGTTATGCCATTTTGGAGCTTAGTGTCCTTTATGTATGAAACATTAATTATGCAACTAAATTATGAAACATTAACATTATGTAGCACCTGCTGCCAGAACATGGATTGCAACCCTTTAGTTAACAATGGGGTTTGTAATTCTGCCTTGAGCAGGCACTACGATTTATAAATGAGCCTTGTTGAGGGCGAACAGCTACGTATTGTCCATTTAGTTATTGTTTTTATGAGTAAAAGCATGTTATACTGAGCACAAATGTCATTTATCTTACTAATCAACAGCACCTCTAAGTGTTCCATTATTGTAAAGAGTAATGAAGTTTAAATCAATCACTTCTGCTGCAGTTACTATTGTGTAATCTACCTGGAACAATAACTGGTTAATTCAGACATCTCACTTTGATCCAGTATACAATAGACTTAAATGTGGTGAAGAAGGCACATTGCTTTTAAGAGGAGTGCAAGTGGAAAGGTGGAATCATCCAATCTAGAACTAAGGGTTTGAGCACGATTCTAATTCTAAGTGAGACATGCTAAGTGAACCTTTCCTGTTGATATGTTTTGAAGGAAGCAGGAGGATAATGCCAGGGAAGAGACTTACAGAAAACAGAAGTGGGAGAGGACACAGATAGTACAAAGATAGACGTAGAGCAGTTGACAGAATGAATACAGAAATTGAGAGACCATTATAGGATTTAGAAGAGAAATCTTGAAACAGTTTTAAAAAATATTTTGGAAACATTGAGTTACATGTAACTGTAACATGTAACAATATCCTAGAATATATGCTTTGTGAATGTTTGGAATACCTAACAATAAAAACTTGGTTTTACCTGTGTGGTTAATGGATAGTCTTCATAGGACGAGAAGGCTCAAACCCCATTTAGATGGAGTGATCCAAGGTGCAAGGTGGAGATGAGATGGAGGAGGGATGCTTGAGAAAAATACTGAAGAAGGCATTTGAGTTTAGATTATGTAGCTAGTTCCATAATGGTGTGATGCAGCTTCTGTGTGTCAAACAAGACGGTCAGTACTATATTCACTAAGAAGAATCAGCTTTTTAGAAGGGAAACAGAAAGATTTGTGTATGATTCACTTAGAAGTACTAGGGGAAACAGTAACAAATAGAGGAACCTACATAAATTTGTTTAGTGAATGTCATATGACCTAAGTTTGAAAGAAAAGTGGATATTACATATACAGTACAACAAAATAACTTTTTGTATGTTTTTTATGAGTGGCTAAACTGATGCTCACCCAAGCCCAGTTTGAGTTCTTTGACTCAGGTATTGCAAGGTCAAGCCTGGTTCATATTATTCAGAAGATTTCCCATTCAGGATGGTACAATTTATAGTACCGTTAAGGTAAGAGTTGTGATTAGTTTGCCAGAGCTCTCTAGCTGAATACTTGCAGGTTTGTGGTACATTTGGGAAATGATAGACTTCTCCTTCAGTTTGCATTTAATTGAGGGAGCTCAAAATTGGGCAGGTTTGTACAGTCTTTCCACACTTCCTCATTTCCTCTATGTGTGGTTGCAGTAGCTGTACGTTGGGACTTAAAAACACAAAATTGATCATTTCAATCTGAGTTGATATATAATAGAAGAAAATCCATTTTGAGCTCATTGTCATTACATTGGATGTTACTGACTGACAAGACAGAGAATTGTCCAATTAGTTTACCATGGAAATTAACCATAGCAGCAGTGTGCTATGAATTAGCTTTTAGCTGCATTCTAGCATGTTTATGCCTAGTCTTGAATTTAAACAAAATGTGTTGAGTAGAAAAATGGATAGCCTATAGTGGATAAAAGACTAGCTATTTCTGTGCAGATATTGATTAGTGTAGAGAGGATCGTAGAATCTGTGGCAGCTATGCCATCTGTAGGAACATAGTTGGTAAACAGGGTTGAGAAACCAAGAAATTCCACAGGACACTACTCAGTTGAGCCCTGGTAGAGAATGCAGGTGTCCAGGCAAATGCGGTTTGATATTATGATTGTGTTCATAAAACTGCTGCTCTCTTATCTGTTGTTTCTTTTCTATTTGCAGATATTGATGAGTGTGCCTCCGGGATCTGTCCTTATAATTCACTTTGCTTTAATACAATTGGAAGTTACTACTGTCAGTGTAAGCCTGGTTTCAGACCAACATCTTCACTTGACATATTCACAGAATCATCTCAGACCTGTGGAGGTAAGAGTTCTGGAATCACTAAACATAAGAATGGTTACAACTGAGATGAGACCATCAGTAGAGATAAAGAGCTAGAAGTAGATAGAGAGGTACAGGAGTTTATTGCCATATGTACAGTTACAGTGGAATTTTAATTTGCGCTGATCTACTGTACTGTATATGGACAGTACACAGTACAGCAGACAACACAATACCACTGACAATACCACACAATGTAGACAGTACATTACAAACATAATAAAAAATTAAACAGAACAATAAATATGTTGTGGAGAACAATAAACATGTAAGAGTGAGAAAAAAAACATGGTAGACCATGTGAAAAGTGCATAGTACAGATGTGCATTGAGTCTGAGGCATTGCAGTTAGGTCTTGAGGATTCGTACTGCAGTAGGATAGAAACTGTTCTTGAGTCTAGTGGTCTGTGTTTTAATAGTGCGGTACCACTTGCCAAGGTGCAAGGGGGAGAACAGTTTGTGGCCGTGATGGTTGAGATCCTGAATGACGGATTGGGCTTTTTTGCAGCAGCAAATCTCACAGATTGGTGGTAAATCACATCCTATAAAATTCTGTGCCATTACCACAATCCTTTGTTTGGATCCTTTGGCACAATTTTAGTTTGTAGCAAATGTCTTTGTTCATCCAGGGCTCCTGATTGGGATATATTCAGATCCTCCTGGTAGGAACATATCTGTCCACACAGTAGTTGACGTGGGATGTGACCACCTCTGTATACTCATTTAGATCAGTGGAAGAATCTTTTAATACACACTAATCAGACATTAGTTAGTCTGCCAGTAGTTTATTGAGCCAAGGATCTTGTTCAGTTGTTTTTTAAAGAAAATTAATGTACCTGCTTCAAAAACATATTCCCACATATATTTTTTAAAGAAGTGAGATTGGATATTGTTCTGTCATTTCTTCCCTTATTTTTCATTGTTAGAGTGTTCCTTGTCAGAGAAATTAAATCGTCTCTGATAGGCCCTACCATAAACTAGGTTGGTCCACACACACTAAATCTCACAATGGCCAATATAGTAAAGCCCACACGGTTTAACTGCAGACTTTTTCCTGAAAACAAAATATAATTCTAGATGCTGAAGGTATGATACCATCTCAACCAACACCAACTTGTGATGCTGTACTGTACCTTAAAAACAAGTACCCAGCTCATTTTTGTTGGTTAACTCATTGGTTACTCATGTCTCTCCAACTAAACTCTCAATCTGAATTTTCCTACCATGCCAGGACTTAAACTTCACCATGGCGCCAGGACAAATGAGTGAGTCAGTAAGGTGCAGAATTCTGTCAAAGATATTCTTTTTACAACAGAAGAAAGCTTGTGTTTATGAGCCCACCATTATATTTGCCCAATCAACAAAATTAGACAGTTGGACTCTTTTTGTGAACACCCTAAATGTCCGAGCATATTCAGAACTGAGCCATAACTGGGACAAAACAAATTCTCCCATCTGTCTGTCTTGGGGCTAGACCCCAAGAAATTAGGTTTCTCTTCTAAGATGAGAAAAGAAGAAGCCTTAAGGCATGAGAGAAAAATATTTTTAATATTCTCCAAGGGTTTTAAAAATGGAAAGAGAGCACCTTAGCTGGAAAGCCAATGGTGTAGTTCTAGGCCGAGCAAACAGGATTACCATGAGAATGTAATATAGGGCTCTTAATTAGAAGCTCAGGTGGTGCTGATGAGACATTCTCATACAACAATCAGGGAGTAAAGAACAATTAGCAGGCTGTCTTGGTGGTATTAGAGGCACTTTAGTGGTGAGCAAGGGAAGATTCCTTCCACTGTGTCACACAGTAAATAAATATTTTCCACATTCTACAGTTTAGCAGTATAGCTGTGAGAAAACTCTCCTCTTTCATTAGGACTACACTATTGTCTGGCTGCTCACAATTAGAAATGACTGCATTTACATCACTACTTAAATATTATTCTCTATAAGTTTAAGTTACTGTAGATACAAAGATACACATCTTGCCCAGAAAATCAATCTAATTCACCTTTTAATTATTTAATAATTTCAGTATTTTTACAACATTTGACTGTTGAATAAACCTTTCAAATACTTTGTTTCATTGTTGCACCTGACTCACCAGACAGAAGCCCTTTCCAAGTAGAAAACCTGAAAAAGTCTGAATTTTTTTAGAAGTTTGCACTATTGTTTTGTGCAATTTGAATAATGGTTGTGCTAAGTGACAAATGTCATCAACATTTTACAGATGTTGATGAGTGTTCTTTGATTGGGTACTGCCCTAAGAATTCAGTTTGCTTCAATATAAATGGAAGTTACTACTGTCAGTGCAAGACTGGGTTCAGATCAACATCCAGGACAACAAATTTTACAAGTGTCAGTGAAAAATGCACAGGTAAGATACCTGGAATCTATAACAATGATCTTTCTTTCCCTATAAAGTTTTAATTGTCAAAGTACTGCTTCCATTTTCATTGGTCTCTTGTCAGTACTCTGAAGAATTCAAATACTATATATTTCCATGTTGCAGTGTAGGAAACCTCATGTTTCATGTTGCAGTCTTGGAAACCTAACTCAGTCCCTAGTCCCTTCATAGTCCTTGTCATTGTAGGGTTGTGTTATTGTTCAGTTATTTTCTGTTTAATTATTTTCAGTTCAATTGTATTTTATGTTAAACCTTTCCCATCTGAAAGGACTTTACAGAAGGAAAAGAACAAGCTGTAATGGTGTGGTCATTGTCAGCTAAATATAGATATAGATGATCTCACAAGTACAGGGTTTGTTTACAGGACATGTAATGATGTAAAGAAAAGCAAATTAATAGTCTTTCAGTTTCAAATACCCTAGTTCCCTTGCATTATGACACAATTGTCTTAGTTTCACTGGATCTTGTACTTTATTTTTATACTTTAATTTATAGTTTATTACTTTGTCTTTTGAAACATTTTTCTTCCTGTTCTCCTACAGATGTCAATGAGTGTCGAGAAAACGTAATAATTTGTGGTGTGAATACAATATGTTCAAACACAATTGGAAACTACTTCTGCACATGTAAACCAGGATACAAATCAAGCAGTGGTGAAGAAAACTTCAACACAACTAATAATGTGTTATGTGAAGGTAGTGGTCATTGTTTATTTCACAGCATTGGGGCACATTCTCAGGTTTACATCAGAATATTGGAATGGCTCATTCAATCCAATGAGCCTGGATGTTACTGGAAAAATAGCAACATGTATTACAGAAAATAGAAACAGAAAATCTGTTCCATCTAGAAAATTTACAGTGAGCAATAAAACCTAATCTGCATGTCTTTTGGAAGTGGGAAGAAATTAAACATTACATTTCTCCATGTGCTCTGGTTTCTCAATTCAAATCAAGATACTGTACTTTTACTCATTGGTCACGCCAATAAAGCATCTTAAATTGAATTGAGAAACCAGAGCACATGGTGAAATCTAATGTAAACACCACACTGACAGTCATGACAAAATTGGATTGAACTGAAAACCTTGTAGACAGTAATGTACCATACAGTTACTCAGAAATTGATTTCTTACTTATTTTTTATATCCTGATGCATACAAGGAACACAACACTCTGGTTTAATGGATAACACAATATATTAATACTGTAAATTCTGTATATTGAACACAGAAGTCATCCATTGTATAGTATATGACAGTGGAGAAACCCTATTACTCAAATATATATTAGAATATAGAATACATTACCAGAGTGGTGTGTGTGAAGACAACAGTTTGACAAGGCCTCAGTCTTCTCCATACGAGCAATGGTGTGACCTAGAAGCCCATTAGAGATCTGACAAAAAAGCAGAGCAAAGAAAGTAAGATGTGCAGTACCTCGAAGCTGTGATTGGTTGTAACATCACCAGGTGTAGTGTCTTTCTCTGTTTCTCCAACCTCCAGGTTCTTCTTTGGTTGATCAACTGTAGGGTGATTGGTCTTGACCTCAGGAAGTGAAAGCAAAGGCACTCACCCATACTAAATTAGTGTTACTAACACAAAAATCACCTATGTGTGCAAAATGTACCCAACAACCTAAATTAACCCAATACAAAAAAAATTCACACAAATACACAAGTGAACTACGAATACCAATAAAGGAAAATGAGAGCAGACACAAGTAACAGGGTACAAAAGAACACAGAGCTTGATACAATACGTCTGGGCAAGGTAATGGCTAAATAAGAATAAACACAAACAAATGAAAGTATGAGGAGACGAAAACAAACCAACAAAGCTGAAGCTATATGAAAACACACACACACGAAGCAAAAGTGAAACAAAACTGAAGCTAAGCCGAGCGGGACCAAAGTCAAACAAAAGGCCCCTTTGAAACCTCCAAGTTATATACTGAATAAGCTGCACTCTGATATTCTTGGGGAGAGAGTTCCAGAGCTTTGGGGCATAACAGGAGAAGGCCCTGTCACCCATACAGTGTAGACAGGCTTGGGGGACAGTAAGGAGAGCAGAATTAGAAGAGCGAAGGTTGCGAGGTGGGGAGTAGGGCGATAATAGTTCAGACAGGTACTGAGTTGCCAAGCCATGCGGAGCCTTATAGGTGAGCATGAGGATTTTAAAGTCTACATGGAATTTGACCGGAAGCCAGTGCAAGGACTCCAGGATAGGATTAATGTGAACACTTGCACTAGACCTGGTCAGGATTCTGGCTGCGGAATTTTGGACATACTGCAGTTTGTTCAGAGTAGATTTAGATACCCCAGTGACAGTAATCAATTCGAGAGAACACAAATGCGTTGATTAGCTTTTCAGCCACAGTTTGTGATAGCATACGACGTAGTCTAGCGGTGTTTCTTAGGTGAAAAAAAGATATTTTGACAGTATGCTGCACATGTGGGTCGAATGTTAAGCCAGAATCGAATATAACCCCAAGTTTTTTCAATTTTGATCGAAACTCAAGTACAGAACCATCTACAGATAGGGTTACATGACTGGTTTTACGAAGTTGATGGGGGGTGCCAATAAGCATGACTTCA